GAATAAAGTACCTACGTGATTGCGATGAGGGAAAAAGGCCAGGGCAAAGCCCAAGATAATTCCCACTATAAGTCCCAGGAGGAAATCTCGAATCCCGCCGGGGATATAGGACCACCATTCTGTTCTCCTGTCATCTAGGAAGATGCATGGCTCGTTTTATGGAAAGCTCTTTGTATGCTTTAGCTCTTTTTTATGTAGCTTGTACCAGTCGATGCTCGGTGTCACAAACCGCTAATGTATTAATCATGGATTGTGAAATATTTTAATTGTAATTCACAAGATGATTCATAATCTTAGGTTTCAGCTTGAAAATTAACGGCTGTGCCGAGCAAAGCTATGATTTTAAACATAAATTGGTATAAAGACATACATTCTTGTCGTTATTCATCTTTGTGAAATGTTTATTGATGTTTTTTAATCGATATTTTTTGTCGAAAATTTGAAACATCCCTTCTGCATATTAAATTTTCCGCGTTCAAAGAAATAAACGAAAGAATGATCGTATGAATTACGGTGCTTTACACGATTTTTGCATACCGTTGCTGAAAACGAAAGAGAAGAAAATGGAGAACAGAGACACGATGTGAACATCATCGATGGATGTCGCCGTGCATAATAAGCTGGCCAATCCCTTGTCTTCTCCGTAACCGCTTTCAGCCAAAGTCAGCATACAGTGGACAGTCACTACGGGAGACATGCAAGCCACGATTGTCCTAAAAGCAGACCTTATCATTGCACACACCTTGTTTTAATTTCGCAAAAATAGAAGAGCTTTAGAAAGAAGAAGAAATTGAATAATCTTCTCTCTAAGATATTAAATCTAGATAGATACATTGAGAAATTTTATTCTCCGGATGGATAAGATTTTCTATCGAAAATTGTGCAGCATGAACCCACCCCGTCATTAAGGACCAATTCCACGGATATTCGAGGAGGTATCTGCACGAAATGCTAACCGTCAGCATTTCGATGGTGCACGGTACGAGCGCGAGGATCATCACGAACACCGGATGCGCCCTGAGCGCGGTCGTTGTCAGTTGCAGCCCGGCACGTACCATGATGAAGGTCAGGCAGAAGGTCCTGATCTTTGAGGTCGTGCCCGGTCCGAGCTCGTCGTGTATGTTGTAGATATCGGTGTTGCGCAGTATTATGCCGGCGAGGAGCATACCGAAGACGGGCGGGAGGTGCAGGCGGGGGATCCAGGCAAGGCTCCAGCCGAGCGCGTAGGAAAAAATGACGAGGATGAAGAGGCCGAAGATGCTACCGCCGGGTAACATCGCGTCGCCTAGCAGGAAATACAGAACTGCCCAGGCCAGTAAGGTTATGCCACTTACGGTAGCGAGCCAGAAAAGGTCCGCCCAGGTCAGTTGCAGCTCGAAACACGTGGAAATTACGTCGGTTACGATGATCTCTCGTAACACCGGATTGCAGAAGGTCGCCCGGTTACAGCAGGTATTGTCGTCGTACTCTTCATCCTCGTCTCTCTCCTCTGGATCTCCGGATATCTGGATCGGTCTGGGATACGCGCCATTTTTGAATTCTATTGTCTAGCGTCTTTATTGCGCCGCGTCGTATTGTTCACGTATTGTCAATGTTTAACCGCGTGGAAATGATTACACCTTGGATCGTCGCTTGTTAGAACCGATTTCACCACGATGTTAGAACTGCTCGCCGATTCACTCACTTCTCTCGTAAGTGTACATTATTCGAGGTTCGTGCGTCCGTGTAGGTGGATGTAGTTGGTTCATCTTCAGGAATAGGTTGCATAGGATACAATAGCGTCCGCTTTATCTACTTGTACCAATATGATAATACGTTTATCAAATTGATCTTGAAATTGAATTCCTTATTGGTTCTTGCTACACGCAAATAAGTGTCCATGTCATTGCGCCGACTAATGCATGAATCTAACAGAATGTTACAAATTTGTTCCTAAAAATGCTCGATCAACTTCACGCTGTATTTCAGAAGAACATATTTATTCTATTATTTGTTTTTTAAATGCTCCTATTAAAATGAACATACTACGCTTAAAGAAAAAGATCATTTTCATTATTATAAAATAGCAAAGTATATAAATCTCGCTATAATATGCTGAGAATTCTATTAAAATTGTGTTTTCTCGATTTGTTTGCAGGATTCAACATGGAGAGTGTTTAGAGTTGTCTCCTCGATTACACCGAGCAATTCTCGAGAAAACCTCCGTTACTCTTTCGCGAATGCGCGCGACAGCAATCTCATTTTTTAATGCAAATAGAAGCTATTACCGACGATATGCTTGCTCTTAATTTATTCCATAATCGAGACATTTTCGTGAAATATTCGTGGTTCTACCGGGCGGAATATCTTTTTTCAATGACGAGGTCATCAAGGTATATGCTCCGCGAAATGGAAAGAGAAAGAGAGGAAACGTAGATGGGGGAATGTGGGAGAAAGCGAGAGAAGCTTTAAAGAGGCAACCGACTGTTCGACGAAGGCCTTCAAAGGATTCCGCGGATATTGAATAATTCCAGATACGCGTCGTCTTATGAAATATTCCCGGGTTAAAGCATAACTTTACGGGACTGACCGGAATCCCGCGTTTCGTCTTGAAGTAATTACGGTGGTGTCGCGAATAATCGCGAGAATCATTTTGCTCGCTCGTGTTAAAAGAATTTACCTCATTATTCATCACGGTTAGATGTAACTTTATTGCCGAAAATTGCATGCATGTGCGTTTATATTTCATCTTCGAAGATTTGCGATCTACACAGTAGAGAATATGACTCTACGTGTCGCAATTTTTCACAGCCGTCAGTCACGGCAAATCGTCGTGAAAATTTCAAAAAGAAGAAGAATGGCGTGTATGCCGGGAAAAGTACTCGTGGAAGTGGTATTTTAGTATTCGGAATCAAGTTACCGTAATGTAGGTCGCGTTTATGATCATCTCGCGAACTTTTAGAGTCTCCGAAATTCGCCGCATCAGTGAAGGTCGACGGCTGAATGGTTGAGGAGCGACTACCACTCTTTTGCCGAGAGCGAGAATTACTAGATGAGGCCTGAAACTGCCAGTTTTTTCGGCGTCAGCTTGCGGCATACGACGTGGCGTTAAGTTAAAGTCTTCTTCACCGTGGCCCAGTTTCTCGACTGGATTATGCATACGACATTTGACATCTGCTCGGATTCCGTGGCGTCTGGGGGTAAGTCTGTTTTGACACTATTTTACAAAAGAATTCTTTGATTAGCCTGGAGCTACATATTTTCGAAAAAAAGTTTTATCACGCGTCAATTTTTACAAATTTTCAATATTTGGATACCTTTGTATCTTCGCAATTGATCTTTAAGCTTTTTTAAATAAAAAAATCCAATTTGAATTAGATATCAGATAAATGAGATATTATCTTTTTAATTACGAAGCATTGTAAAAGTGAATTTCAACCATTTAAAACTCGAGAACTTTTAGCGTTTGATATTTTTTTTAAAGAATCTATGCGCTTCAAGTTTGTCATGGAATGTTATCACAAGTGATGTGAATGATATGCTTCGAAAATGCCGTCATTATTCGAAAAATTCATAAAGAAAATCATTTTTATCGGCGATCCATAAAACTTAACTATTCGTACAACTAATTCGGGGTTCTGTGCGCGCGCCAATAGCATCGCCTATCTTTCTTGTATCCACCAACTTCCTTTTGAACCCCCGCCGTTTCGCTCCTACGCGCGCGTTCTCTCAACCCCTCTTGCTCCATTTACCCTCTCCAGCACCCGTAGTTCACTTCCACTCAGTGCTTCTACCCCCGTGAGAATATTCAGTTCGCGAGCGATGCTCGCCGTGATCGTGCCGAAATTCTGATTGGTCCGTTTGGTTTCGCTACTACAAGGATTATTTTATAGCAAAAAAAAAAAAAAATTTTATTCGTCAATTCTTCGCAAGTTCTATTTGCGTTTTTGAAATCGTGTACGCGACTTCGTGCGTGGTGGAACCGGTAAATCCAGTAGATGCATATGCAAGCCGATCCTGGGATTGTCGTATACAACCTGTGAGCGATTTGGTGATATAAATCGGAGGACTCGACACTTGGAATTCACGCAAGGTAAGATATCTTTTTATTATATGCGTTATAATGATATTAATTTTATACATTTATTGACTGTGTTAGTATGAAAATGATTTATTTCTCAATTTTCCAATCTTTGGACACACATAAAATATCTTAAGATTTAATTATTAATTAAATATCCATTTTTTAATAAAATTGTTTTAAAATCAATCGAATAAAATTTGACTATATTTTCGAAGCATATCATAATGTTGCAGCATTGATAATGCTGATAAAGAAAGATGGGAAAATATAAGGGCTTTACGCATGAATTTTGGAGAATATTTTGAGCGAAAAGAAATATTGAAATCCACAATTGTTTCAAACATTGCGCTTGTTAGTGATACAATAACAATTGATTGAATAAACAAAGAGACAACAGCGAAGTACAGGGTGATATAAATACAGTCGCGTTGTGACTTTGTCGCAGGACGCAAGTAAATATGTTGCTGCACTTTATGCGGTTAATTTCGTCGTTTGCAGGACGCGCCGCGTAGCGTTGTTTATTACGTGAAGCATGACGCGCGGTCTTACGCGAATTATCGCCTTTTATACCGAGTATGCTTCGCGACGGCAAAACTGTTAAAGGAGATAAAGAATGTATGAACTTGGGGAAAGAGCTGTATCAGCTGTCGCGTAAAGTTTTGGCGTGTCTCCAAGATAGGTACATATTTCTGCTACACGTTGAGGATCGTGTTAAGATGTTGTCCGATAAAGCATCAAAGTACTCGGCTAATAGCTTAATAAGAATATTATGCGGTGCCATTAAACTCTTTAAGAGCTAATATTGGAGATATTGGAGAATCCGTTCCAGATGGCGAAATATGTCCGTATTTACGATATAACATATATTTCGCATATTGTACATCGCATCGTATTGTTAATTAATCCTTATTTCGATCGAGCCAAATGTTATTGAATTAATGCCGTGGAATTATCATTGTCAATAATAAGAGCGACGACTCTGTGCAACTCTCGACGAGTTGTCGCAACGGCGGATTATCGCGATAGCGTTAAATCGGGTCGGGAATCGTGGAAACGGAAGAAATATAAAATGAGACTGTCCAGGTATCGTAATTAGCTCGTTTACGTGTGACGCGCGATTTGAGGATGCGCGCGAGAAATTACAAACGTCGAAAAGGTCTTTGACCTTAGCGCGGCCACTTAAATCAGCGGTATTGGATTTGTGTCTGGACTGGGAAAATAGCACTCTTGGAAAATGAATATCTATTTTGGTTGTTGAAGCGACGCAGTCAGTCGTAGTCCGCCGTCGAGTGGATTTAAGGTTATTGAACTTGTTCATTGATCCCTCTCGATGCACCGGCACATCCACGGTCTCGCGTCACGACCACCACGAAAACCCACCACCGCCCAGAGCGGATTCGCAACTCCGCCGACTCCTCCGTCTCTTTGCACCTGCAATGCTTCTGAATTCTCAGCGCGCTCGCGTAAAAATGCATTAATCCAATTTCGAATGTTATGTGCGCGCGTGCATTGTGCAGCGATCAGCGCACACGCGCTCTCTTTTATACAAATTTGTAGATCAAACCGCGCATTAGCGGAATATGCATTCGCTCTCCGAATGATGTATTCCGATATTAAATTAACGTTATTCCCAGTCGAGCGAAACGTTTTGATATGAACATTTTATTTCTGCCGGTTTCGACCGACCATTAATTTGATCCCGGGTTTAATTCGGGAATTTTCCGGAGCAACGACCGCGTGCACGTGGAAAATACGCCGTTTTCGTAAAGACTCGCGGACTGCGATTTATTACGTTCGAACAGAGCATCGCGAGCGCGTATTATTTACCGCGCATTTCACAATGCCGATCGTGGACTGGATGATGGCATTAAATATTTATTGAGAAATGAAATTCGCGCGGCGTTCCGGCGCGCTATAGCTTGTACGTTCAATGACAGAGTAATGGCATATTTTTTTTGTCTTTATTTTTATATTGATCCACACTGGCAACAGTTTTACGATAGTTGTAAAGTGTCCCGGTGAAATTTCTGTTGGAGTTCGGTGAAGCGAGCGATACGATTTTCGCGGTTGTGAATAACGCCAAGATATTTTAAATGATACACGTGCCGTTTGCGCGAACGCAGTATATTTCGTCCATGCGCTTTTGCAGCAGAAAGCCGAGCACGTTCTGTCAAATACACGACAATGTTTCCATACTTTTCGCACGGTAAATTGTACAGAATGTGGAAACGTGTTTTTAGTTTATGCGCGTACACCACTTAAACGCACACAATCTGAATGCGTATTCTAAATTAATGTTATCTGAAAATTGCATGTTTACGGAGATCAAATAACCGAATTTACATTTTGAATTGACTAAACGTGTGATCCGATATTTATCGTTTTTGGTTTTTTTTTCGCTTTCACAAGAACGCACACAACTTTCATAACGTATATAGATTTACGCGATAGTAACGTCATTTCGCGATCAAAGAGTGTGCATTTCATCCTCTGTTCGATGGCAGAGAGACAAGCGATAGCGTTTTGTCGGATTAAAATCGTACATTGTTGCAAATCGCGTGACGGCTTTTCTATCAGCGACGCTAAGCTTCGGGAAAATATCGCGTTGCAGATGGAACGCCATCGAATTATCCCGGGGGGAAAAAACGGGGGAAAGAGAGAAAAACGTACTTTCGGGAAGCCCTCATGTTCTCGCTATTGCCCTCGCCTGAAACACGAAAATTGAATTCGTAGAGACAGTGACAGGTACTCGATATGTACGAAGCAGAGGCTTCGCGGCTAATGGCCACGTTCGCCGGCATTCGTGCGTCTCGCGGGATTTGACACGGACGGAGGAAGTATTCTTACATTGAGAATCTCGTCCCGAAATATCGACCACGCGCACTTCGTCTTTTCCACGTCGTTGACGACGATACACTTGACACACTGCGGACTCGATGTTCAAAAATTCAAAAGCCACGCGCCGCAACTCGCCTGAATTCTGCATGAGAATGCCATTTTCTCGCGTCGCCAGCGGCGATTCGGCTTTTCAAAATTTCAGCTTTAGCTAATCGCGCGAAAATCGCACATCAGGTGCGAACGATGAATATTAAATGTTTAAATCTTATAAAAGAATGAAATTTCGGTACAGATTGTTTTAAGGCACCTGAGACATTTTAGGAAACTAACAAGTGAATGGACGAATAAATTATTTAGTATAAATTATAATATTTCAAGCGTGTAGTGTGATGAAATATTGTTGCATGTACATTTTAAGTAAAGATCGCTTAAGCAATCGAATATTCTGAAAATTCCTGAGAGATTGAGACATCAATCAATACTCCGCGTTACGTTGCCGTACGTAAGTAGGTCAATCTCAGGAGACAACGTTTCGCCGAGGAAAAGCTGATTCAATTTGTCTCGAACGAGAGATACTTATGAAACAGATCATTACGGAATGACTGAGCTTTAGCAAGCTAGACAGAAAATGGCGCATATATTAATGTAGCAAATTATACGAAAAGATTTAGAATACGAAAGGAGTTATTAATATCGTGAAGAACTTAATTAGGGAGAGAAAATTGCAAATATTTATCAATCAATTAGATGTATTAGAATTACATAAAAAAAACTATATATTTGTAAACGCAGTTACAAAGATAATTAATGATTAAGCTAGTACAAAATTATAAAAAACAATTTTAAACGCTTTACTACTTTTTTGGACAAAAAAGACTAATGTGCCTTGGATTAGAAATATATCAATGTCATCAATTTATTGATTATCCGTTTGAAAACGTAAATTATCGTTACGCATGAGTCAATTTGCGGTGCGCTTGCGGCGAGACGTCTGTCAAATAATGACAGTGAGCAAACACGACGAAACTATTTTACGCGGCTAACTAGACGTCATTAATTATCCATCATCGCGTCTCGTCGGCGGCGAGCTTGTTATTCTGCCGTTGGATTTTTGAATTTTTTGTTTTTCGACGACCGAGGCAATTTTGTAGAATGTTATGAGAGAAACATAATTTGTTAATCAAGAGCATAGTATTTTATTGAAGACTTTTATACAACATTTGACATTTTTAATACAC